TGGAAAATCACAGCTGTTTTGTGTCGCAGCTAATGTGCAATGCCCTTGGCTGGTTCCCTGTCCAGTCACACACTGCTTGCAGCAAATCATTGGTAGTATGGATTGCTCTCTGTGACGTAACACGAGAGTGACGAAACAGCTGTCAGTTTTGTCCAAGTGGGACAAAATTCGTCCGGAGTGGAAAACGGCAAAAAAAGGCAACATTTTTTCCTCCAAACAAGAAAATGGCAAGTTTTCTGCAATTAGCCACCTAGCGGAAAGTTTACCCTGTATGTAGTGAACGTACCGGTGCAATTTCAGCTCATAAAATCAAGCGGATGTTTAGTTATGCCCCCGGATATCCCAGATAAAACTTTTCGAAAGAAATCCCTATGAATCGGGACAGGGTTCAGTATACGACGGAGGAGTATTCGTTGGGCCCCGTTTGCGGGTCTAACTTGGACCCTCCTAAGTAGTCTATATCCCGACCACATCCAAATGTTGAAAAAGGCGATTTGTAGGGTCCAATTTACTCGGACTAGGCCTGACTGTGGTCTTTATGGTAAGACCTGACACTGTCATGACTACTGTCATTTGGCAAGCCTGCTGGTTTTCATGATTTTTTAATGGTTCGTAACGCAGTGGGTTTTTGAATGCAGCCCAGTTAATCAAAGAGGAAAGAAAACAGAATTCCTCCATGGTCAGATCGAGGTACATTTCTGTGCAGCAAAAACTCCAGTCTCCACTCTCTCAATCAGATCTTCCCTCCAATACAGTACCCAACAAAACCGATGCTATTTTTAAAACCATGCGACTGCTGCAGATGTACATTGTAGCAGGTCAAGACTTATATCTACATGTACATGTACCTGTCAGGCCTGTATAAACTCAGGAAGTGGAGGCCCTTCTTCCTTTTCTTCAAATTTGGACATTGCCCCTGTATATTGTACCGGTAGCATAGACTAGGCAGAAAATCTTAATTAAAACAAGAGTTGGTTCAGTGAAACTGCATAAATGTACATGCCAAAACAGTCCAGAAAATCAATGATAACACTGAATCGTGTTCAGCATAATATATTCAGGGAAAGCCTACTTGTATGTGAAACTGAAATCTCTCTGTATGAAAATGCACTCAAGTACAAGAATTGTAGTTTACATGTACTGCACCAAAACCAAGCTGCATCCATCTTGTGGAAGTGAACTTTAATTTTCTGGCCATTCTCACTGCCTTGTGCAATAATTACTGCTGCACTAATGAGATGATTGAAATGCACAGTAAGAAAAATTTCTGGTGTAAAAATATTGTAGGTATATTGGACTTGAACAGGCAAAGTACCTTACACCAAACTAAAATGAATCATGTATGTACTTTACATGTACAATGTACACGTATTTGATTTTTTTCTTCTGTTTAACTACCTGAAACCTTTGCGTCATCCAATATTGGTTCCAAAAGTTTTTTTCCTTCCGTTATTGGTAATGATTACCTCTGGCCTTGTGCTAGCTTTTCGTCCTGGTCGTCCCACTGGGCTGCCATGCTACAGTACGCTTTCTAGAGCCAACTGGTTTGCTCTTTTTGTGCAACTTTAAGGTTATCTCACAAGCATGCTATCATGCTGGATACATGTACCGCTAAATGTCACAGTTAATCAGATTATTTGGATTGTACTGAAAGTATTACATGTACCGGCACATGGAAATGTACATATATTGGATCTTTCCTCTTGACTCTTTCCTGGCCCCCCTCCCCCCCTCTAAAAGAGTACAAAATAAAATGATGATTTCTCTGTGGTACATGTACACTGAGGACCCATTCTAACTCACAATGTAAGGCTGTTCGNTAACCTTAAAAACCACTGTTCCCCTTGTAGACATGGTAGAAATGGAGGCAGTGGGCATGGTGACGTTGCTTACGAGTCCAGAAATACTTTGAAAAGCAGGGGCCTACTGGTTCATGTATTGCAATTTTTGGAATATGCTTCACCTTGTACCTTGTTGAGCAGTGATGAACCTTACAATGAATATGATTACATACATGTACAGGCAGTCAGTATTTTATAACTGTCATTTAACCAATTTTTTTCAGAACCACTTACACCATCTAAAATGACTGCGTAAGTTACGCCCTAATTTGTTGCTGAGATTGTGGACTTGGGCAGTGCGTGACTGTTGTGAAGTATGGTACATGTATGTCCTAATGTATTAAAGAACTACAATAAAATGTGGCATAAGTGAAGTAACACCACTGCGTGTATGCATTCCTGGAATGAGATTCATATATTGGGGCATCATTTGACACCCTGTGCATACATTGTAAATCCTGTGAGACCGGGCTGAAAAATCCTGAGCATTTTCTAAGTAAATGCTTTAATGATTTCCCTCGTACATGTGAACTGGACTTTTTGGCGCACGTGATTACTTTCTGATGGCTATTAAATCACTGCAAGGGAAAGTGAGACATGAACTCTTGTACCTGTAAGCTTTCATTAAACTGGCTGCAGATCTACATTGTAGCAGGTCAAGACTTATATCTACATGTACCTGTCAGGCCTGTATAAACTAAGGAAGTGGAGGCCCTTCTTCCTTTTCTTCAAATTTGGACATTGCCCCTGTATATTGTACCGGTAGCATAGACTAGGCAGAAAATCTTAATTAAAACAAGAGTTGGTTCAGTGAAACTGCATAAATGTACATGCCAAAACAGTCCAGAAGATCAATGATAACACTGAATCGTGTTCAGCATAAAATATTCAGGGAAAGCCTACTTGTATGTGAAACTGAAATCTCTCTGTATGAAACTTCACTCAAGTACAAGAATTGTAGTTTACATGTACTGCACCTGTTGTTAATACTGAAAAGACAAAACCAGGCTGCATCCATCTTGTGGAAGTGAACTTTAATTTTCTGGCCATTCTCACTGCCTTGTGCAATAATTACTGCTGCATTAATGAGATGATTGAAATGCACAGTGAGAAAAATGTCTAGTGTAAAAATATTGTATGTGTATATTGGACTTGAACAGGCAAAGTACCTTACACCAAACTGAAATAAATGACAGTACATGTACTTTACATGTATTTGATTTTTTCTTCTGTTTAACTACCTGAAACCTTTGCGTCATCCAATATTGGTTCCAAAAGTTTTTTCCCTTCCGTTATTGGTAATGATTACCTCTGGCCTTGTGCTAGCTTTTCGTCCTGGTCGTCCCACTGGGCTGCCATGCTACAGTATGCTTTCTAGAGCCAACTGGTTTGCTCTTTTTGTGCAACTTTAAGGTTATCTCACACAAGCATGCTATCATGCTGGATACATGGACCGCTAAATGTCACAGTTAATCAGATTATTTGGATTGTACTGAAAGTATTACATGTACCGGCACATGTACATGTACATGTACATATATTGGATCTTTCCTCTTGACTCTTTCCTGGCCCCCCTCCCCCTCTAAAAGAGTACAAAATAAAAGACGATTTCTCTGTGGAACATGTACCGTACCTGGGGACCCATTCTTACTCACAATGTAAGGCTGTTCA